CCCTATCCTCAAAGAAATGCTGATATGGGGGAGGCAACGTCCCTGTCTTTAAGGGCATCATTCTTGGCTTTGGAATGTTGTAAATGTTTAAAGCAGATGTACAATGCACGCTCAACAGGCCACATCAGGCCTTTCCGGAAAAACAAGTTCAGACCAAATTAGTTTTAAACCAAATGGCTTCCTCATATACTCCAATATATTCTATTTGTGTCATTTGTTCGTCAGGACTAAGTTTGGGGTTGAAACTGCACAGAGACCAGGTGGTAAGAAAAGTGAGAGGTGCATGGCCTGTAGGGGCTGTGGACTGCAGAGCCCAAACCCCACTGAAAGGGTCAATGGCAGCTCAGCTTTAATGGACTCTTGCTCTGTGGGAACGCAGGCTGGTGTTTGCAGATTCTCTGATTTTTCAGGAAAAGCTGGAAACCACAACTTAATGAGAAATCACCTATTTTTATTATATATTGGCAACCAAGTAAAACTTCTAAGAAAGACCATGCAGACACAAAAATCTTGTTTGAGGCTTGCGTTGCCTGTCTGTGACCTCGACATCTGAGCCATGCACCTGCTTCATTCGCATTTGAGGTGGTACGCAGTCCTCATTACATCTGATGAGGTTCAGGGTAGGCCACCCCAGCGTGTGCCACTGTGACATGTGGATTATTTCAAGCTGAAGACAATCAAGGCCCAGTAGACTCAAGGAGAGCTTTTGACCTCTCCCTTGACTGCCTAAGATTTTAGATAGGGGCCTCTACCAGGAAGAGACCTATTACCAGAGATAACATTTTACTCAGAAAGACTTATCTGCATGGCATGGAGAATATTTGTTTACAACACATTTGCTCCTCTCATCTTCCTGTGAATTGTCTTCCTCCTCTTCGAAGTTCCAGAACCCTGCCCCCTTCTCCTTAGCTCAGGATGGCATATAAGCCTTAATTGCCTGACCACTGGGGAACCTCATATCTTAAGAGTTCTCATACATACGAAATTAAATTTGTTTTTCCCCTTCTCCTGTTAATCAGTCTTATGTCAGTTTAATTATTAGACCAGCCAGAGAACCTAGAAGGGAAGAAAAGTCTTCCTCCCTTACATGCTCAGAGCATTTACCACACCAGCCTTTATCCACACACAGGGTCCCCAAGAACACTCACTCCCACCACACACAAACACGGCTGGTAGGTATTCCGGGCCAAGTAAGTCCAGGGCTCACACCCAGGACAGGGACAGAGACCTTGTTTTAATAATTGCCCTTTTTATGTATGTGTGCACCTATTGTATGCCAGGAGCTTTACCTCACTTGATGTCAACCTTGGGCGCACATTTGAAAGACCGGGGATTTAAAAACACATACCAGTGCTTGGGTCCCACCTCCAAACATTTAGATGTAATTGGTCTGGAGCTTTAAAAGCTCTTTTTTTCGTTTGTTTGTTTTTTTGGAAGATTAGCCCTGAGCTAACATCTGCTGCCAACCCTCCTCTTTTTGCTGATGAAAACTGGCTCTGAGGTAACATCAGTGCCCTTCTTCCTCCACTTTATATGTGGGACGCAACAGCATAGCTTGCCAAGCGGTGCCATGTCCACACCCGGGATCCGAACTGGTGAACCCCAGGCCACCGAAGCAGAACGTGCGAACTTAACTGCTGTGGCACCTGGCCGGACCCTTGCATTGGCTCTTACCGCAAATATTTCTCATTTCTCCCAAGGATGGTCAAAGTCAGCCTCCTCAGAGAGTTCTCAGGCTCAAAAAGGCAACCCGTTGCACTTTGTATTACTTTCACCTGATTTCTTGTCTTCTGGCCACACTACTATTGGATAATATCTTGTTCATTTCTTTACTTGCTCATTGCTCTTCTTGAATAGACGGTAGTCTTTGTGGGAGTGGGGTTACAGGGATCAGGGCAGCACCTTTATCTTGTTCAACTGTTGAATCTCTAGGTATTAGTTTGAATGGGCGAATAGTTTAGCACTGGGAGGTAGTTGTTTATTATTATTATTATTTTAGTCCTTGTTTTGCTAATGAGGAAACTGAGGCCAGAGAGGTTAAGGCCCCTGCCCAGGCTCTCACAGGATGCAAGCCTGGGTCTGCCTGACTTGGAGCAAACCCTCTGAACAAGCCACTGTCCTGTTTCATCTTCCATCTTGGTTACAGTCTTGGTTTTCATCACTAGGTCTGGGGCCTTCCAGAATCTCCTCCAAAGCCCTTCAGATGGAGATGTCAAGTACTCTAATCCCAAAAGAATGCGCCCACTCATTGAGAGGTCCTCGAGGGTTGCTGGGAGCATTAGCCTTTACTACCCAAGATCACTGACTTCCTGTGTGAAAGAGGGGGCCTGAGGCTGAGATAAGGGAGTGTTGAGGAGTCAGGAGGAAATGGGTGAGGGGGTTGAGGGGCCTTGGCAGGTGCAAAGATGCAGAAGGAACAATGCTGGAAGAGAGGCTCTGCAGCCCCTTCGAATTTCCCAGTGACGTTCCAGGGCATAGTAGTGTTGGCACCTAGCTCTTCCAGCCACCACCCACACACCCACCCGGGAGCTCAGCCACGTGGACGTCTCTCAAACCGCTGAGGTTTTGCTTGTGCTGTGTGACATTGGGCAAGTCCTCTTTCTCGAGGGACCTCAAATTACGCTTGTGTAAATGAAGAGGCTGTGCTCCATGAGAGAGGGAAGAGCTTATCAGAATGGGAGGAAGGTGTGCAATTGAAAAAGCATATTAAAAGATCAGGTAAAGTCTGAGCTTAGGTAATAGTGTCAGGCCCGGGGAATTCCTCTCCCCTTTTGGTTCTTTTCAGTGTTCTAATCATTAAATGGACACAAGAAAGATTAACAGGAGAAAAAGAAAAACATTTTATTTCTATGTATGGAGGACTCAATAGATATTGGGAAAAGAAGAAATGATGGAAGTGAGCAGATTTTATACATTCTAGACAAAGAAACAATAAATTTGTGAGGAACTGACAGGACAAAGGAATTTAGGCTTGGGGGCTAAATTAGTGAGGAATCTAAGCAGACTTTGGGCTTGGGGCAATAAATTAGGAAAGAAGTAACGACCTTGGCTATACAGGTTTCTGGCCCCTGAATTCCCTAGCTCTGGTGATAAGGATGTCTCTCTATCTCCTGGTATAGGCAGATTACCTTTGTCAATGCACATAATCCATAATCAATCTATAAATCAAAATTGGGGTGAGTTTATTATCTGAGTCATGTCTGAGGACTGTAGCCCCGGGGCTTCCTTTCCCAAAGAAGAAAGCACACCAAAGAAGTGGGGTGTACAGAGTGGTTATATACTGTCTTGAAACAAAGAGCATGCATCACGTGTGACAGGAAATATCTCTTTTACAACAGTCATAAGATTGGTTTGGTGGCCCAGCAGGTCAGTGGTCTCAAGGTGAACACAGCATGTTAGTGGTCAGCAGGTCAGTGGTCACAAGGTAAACACAGAAGGTCAGTAACTAATCCTTAGTTTCTAGGAAGAGATGCTTATCCTTTAAAAAAATGCCCATATGGGGGGAACCCACATTCCTATCTTTAAAGGCGTCATTCTTGGCTTTGGGATATTGTAAATGTTTAAAGCAGATGTACAATGCATGCTCAACAGGCCATGTGAGGGCTTTTTGGAAAAATAAGGCCAGGCTGAATTAGTTTTAAACCAAATGACTTCCTTATATACTCCAGGATGTCCTATTGCTTTTCATTTATTCATCACCTTTCACGTGGGAGATTTATCTTCTGCTTTCAAGGGGCACAGAGAGAGGAGGGTCAGAGTGCCCTTTTTGCACTGCCTGTTTTCTCAAGTAACTTTAATTAAAAATAATCAATATGCCACTGTGGCACATCTTGGGGCAGCCTACTCTGAACCCAACAATAGTAATGTACCAATGCCAGTTTCTTAGTTTTTGTAAAAATACCCAGATATCTTAATGTTAATGGGGGGGGGGGACTAGAAGAGAGGTCTACACTATTGTTGCAACTTTTCTGTAAATCTAAAAGTAATTCCAAAAGAAAAATTTATATTAAAAGAAGATGATTAGGCAAGTTTTAAGCTCTATTCCTGCATTCATTTATTCAACAAAGATTGTCTATTTGGGTCAGGCATTGGGTACACATTAGTGACCAAAAGTCATGGTCCCACCTCTTGTGGCCTTTACAGTCTAGTGGCAATTTGGCAGGAATAATATCCCTATTGCTTTTTTAAAAAGCAAAACTCAACTATAAAGTGTAGTAGCTTAAAATCTTGGCTGAAGGCATATATAAGCAGAATCTTTGCTCCATCACTTCTGAGCTGTGTGACTTTGGCAAAGCTAACCCCACTGGGTATAGCTTTCCTCAGTGGTAAGACGGAGCAACAAAATTGATTGCCTCATATGTGCTTAGCATGTATTAAAACATATACCAAATGTTAGTTATTATTATCAACGTAATTATAATAAGTATTAAAAAGACAGTGATTCGTAACACGGATATGGGGAAGCATAACATAGACAAGGAGCGTGACATTTTTGTCAAGGACTCGGGTGCGAAAACACAAAGGTCCTTCAGGCAGTGACTGTGATAGCGTAAGCTCAGAAATGACAACGCCGCCCCGCCCTCGCGCTCAGCACCGCCCCTCTCTCGCGCTCTGGTCCCGCCCCTCCCTCGCGCTCTGGTCCCGGCCCTCCCTCGCGCTCTGGTCCCGCCCCTCCCTTCCTAGCGCTCTGGTCGCGACCCGCCCCTGGCGGTCTGGTCCCGGCCCCGCCCTCGAGCTCTGGTCCCGGCCCTCCCTCGCGCTCTGGTCCCGGCCCTCCCTCGCGCTCTGGTCCCGCCCCTCCCTTGCGCAATGGCCTCGCCCCCGCCAGCTAAGCTCCGCCCCTCTCCGCTTCCGGCTCCGCCTTCTCCCCTCAGAAGGCGGGGCTTGACGCCCACTCTGGGAGGGAGGGGCTCAAGGAGGAACCTCTTCGGGGCGGAGTCGGGAGAGAGCTATCCAATTCCAGGGCTTGAAATCGCTGATTCCCGAGTGGGCGGAGCGAACCTGGAAGTGGCGGCGCTCAGCTTTGCATAGCAATGCACAGCTTTGCATAACCAATACAAGCAGGCATTTAAAGACGACAACGCTGTCACAGACCTAGCAGTTAACCAGGCGCGGACCCACCATTTGCAATGAGACCCTCGATGCAGGCTCCGTTCCTGATCGCCCTGGGCTTGCTTCTTGCCGGCCCTGCTGCTCCTGTAAGCGTCCTGTCAGAACGGGTGAGCTCCCGCTCCTTTAGAAGGCTGCTTCCAGCATCTCTGCCCAGCTAGGGGTGTTTGGGTTCCGGGGGCATTATGGGGGTGACTCCACTCTCTAGAATTGCTTCTCTCCAGCAGGGTCGCCCCAGATCACTAGTTGTGGGTCCTTTTCTCTCTCCGGGTTTCAGTTTCCCCGGCTGCACAGTGAGGATGGGCTATGAGGCCTTGCTGTGCTCCTGACTTTTTTGGAAATGTTAATATCACTCTTGTCTGTACTCTCCTGTGCTCTTTCCAAACGTCTGAGTGAAATTTTGCAGAACTGCAAGACTAAGGCACAGCTCCCAGGCCCAGAGACTCAGCCCTGTTTACCTGCCCTCCTTTACCCGCCAGGAAAAGGCCTAGCCCCCATGCCTTCCCCTTCTGTAGTGTTCTGCTTGTCCTGGAGGGTGGGTGGGTTTGAGAGGCCCTCTAGGCCGGAAGGTCCAGACTTGTTCCTCTGGCGACAAAGATCCGGCCCTGCTCCTCGTTGTAAGCCGCAGAGAGGCTCCAGCCTCCGAGCTTCCCCATTCACTTCTCACTCACCGGGTGCTCCAGGCCCTTGGGAAAGGGAAGTTCAGTCATTCAGAGACCTACAGAAGCCTAGTTCCACTGCCTCTTTGCTGCAGAGCTGTGGCAGCAAAGAGCCCCAGCCTAGATCCCTTCCTCTAACCACCTTGGAAATATTTGTCTGAGAGCACTTAACGTGTGGTGTAGGGGAAAGTGGGATAGAACTGAGAGCTGAGAGGCTTGGCTTCTGATCCCTGCTCTGTCTCTAATCCACGGGCATAGCATTTGGGCTCCTTGAACCTTGGTCTCCTCATCTGTAAAATGGGTGTGATGAGGCCAGCTGCCTTTCTCAGATGGTGTTGGGTGAAGGGAAATGCTTTCATGGATGGAAAAGCTCTAAAATCTTAAAGTGATATAAGGCAGTGGGCTCAGCCTCACTTTGCCTCAGGGGCGAGGAGTCCGTTTTGCATGTTGAATGAAGGAGCAAGGACCTCTTGGCCTTCTTTGCCCAGAGGATTAGTTTGTCCCTGAGTGTAGGTTGAGAATGTTTCTCTTGGCTCCAGGTCTGACCGCTATAAGGTGGAGTCTGCCTAAGGCTCCAGCTTGCCCTCCATCCCCATTCTATATGTCAGCTCTGGGTGCCATCCCAGACCAGAGGGTCTTAAGATCGACAGTTTTGGAGAGACCTTGAGACGTCATAGAGTTCACCCACCTCACTCAGACCCACAGAGGACAGGGGACTCAACCAAGATTACACAACTAGTGGCTCCTTGGATCCTCATCTGCTATCTTCCAAATCTTCTCTGGGTTCACAGCTCATGTGATTCAGAGCCCTGACCTTGAGGCCATGTGCCAGATAAAGGCTGTAGGCTGATAGTGGTTGAGCCTTGAGTTCTTGTTCCTTTTCTAGTGTTAACTGATCTCGTGATGCTGGGTTGTTAGATAGTGGGAGAATGTCTAGCCCTGTGCTGGGCATGCAGTAGGTGCTAAATAGACCCTGTGATACTGTATAATGACTGCCATTTATTGTGCACATACTATGTGCTGTGTGATGAGCCGTGTGCTCTTTTTCCTAATAAACTTTTTTTGGGGAGTAATTTTAGATGTACAGAAAAGTTGCAAAGATAGTACAGAGTTCTCATATACTCCTCACCCAGTTTCCCCTGATATTACCTTATATTACCACGGTACACTGGTCAAAACTGAGAAACCAGCATTGGCACGTGACCATTAACTATACACTAGACTTTATTGGGATTTTACCAGTTTTCCCATAAATGTCCTCTTTCTGTTTCAGGATCCAACCCAGGGCACCAGGTTGCATTTGTTGTCATGTCTTCTCAGCCTCCTCTGGTCTCTGACAGTTTCTCAGTCTTGTGTTTTTGTGGGGCTGACAGTCTTGAGGAGTTGTGACCTCTGCTTTCTGTACACAAACTTCTCACTCGCCCGGTAGCCCTGAGAGAAGTTAGAATTATGCCCATTTAATAGATGGGGAGATTGAACCTCAAGAGGGGATGACCTACCCAGGGTCTCAGCTAGTGAGGGTAGCTGAAGTGTGATTTTAGCCTGGCTCTGTGATAAATAGTCTGCTTCCAGAGCTGTGCCTTCTCCCTCTGCCATTTGTCACCCCTTCCCACAGGTTGGCCTCTCCTGGGGATGGCAAATATCTGGTGCCAGGCCTGGCCCTTAGTGGACATTGCTAATCTATCATGCCTTCTTTTCCAAATGAGGCTGGACTCAGCTGAGCATTCTTCACCACAGGCGCTTCTAGTCAGGACACCTATTTGTTGGGAAACTGCCTTCTTATGTCTCCCCCAGGGCCTGGGGGAAGGGGCAGCTTAGGAGAGGGAAAGGAATTCTTCAGCTTCAACAGGGCACTCTGGATACCAGCCCCAGCCTGGAATCAGTCCTCAGGTGAATGAGGCTGCCTTAGAATCTGTGAAAGCAGCCCCAAGATGTGGCTAATCTTCTATCTTCCCTCCAGCCCAACTCCTAGTTCCAGGCATTCTTTCATTTGATGGTGGCCTCCCTTCCAGGCTTGTCCCTTTCCAGTCCGTTCTCAACCCTAAAACAGCATGGCACTCTCCTGCAATGGGGGTCCCCTGCACCTATCGAAAATCCAGCCTCCTGATTATGATCGGTGTGGTCCTGTGTTAAATGACCCTGCCACCCCTCCAGCCTCTTCTTGGTCCCTCGTCCACTACATCTAGCCCACTGGCCTTCTTGCAGTGCTCAGAGCAGCTAAGCTTCTTTCTACCCAGGGCCGCTGCCCATGTTCCCTCTGCCTGAACATTCTTTTTGTCTCTGTACTCCTCATCCTGCAGGAGTCCAGCTTTAGTATCACTTCCTCACCACCCTAATTAAGTAAGTTCTTACTCTCAACACGTCCTTCTGTTCGTTTCCTTTATGGCACTCTGAAATCGTAGTGGATAATATTTACCTGCATTGGACTGTAAGCTCCTCAAGGCAGGGCAGGAACATTTCTAATTGTTTACCACTGTTAACACAGCACTTAGCCCAGAGCCTGAGAGCATTGCTCCATGCATATTTGGGGAATGACTGTTGAAGGAAACATTTATGGGCTGGCACCTACCTTGTGTAAGGGGCTGTGGGGAATTCGGGATGAATCAGACCCGGTCCTGCCTTCATTAGTTGTGGCACAATGACTCATTCCAAGGGATGGAAACCCATTCCAAGAAGCTCAAGTAAAAGGAAGTTTATTCCAGATATACAAGGACCCTCATGGAACTAATGGCAGGAAGTGGAGACTGGGATGTCTAGCGACTGTCATTTAGTGAGCCAGCTCATGCTTTGGGCCCGGCATTGTGTTATGAGCTTTACATACATGCTATCATCCTTGCGACAACCCTGAGAGGAAAGTATAAATGCCTATGCTTAAAATAAGTGGACATTGGGGCGTTAGGGGGGAACTGGCCTATTGAATCACATGATGTGGTGGCTGAACTATGATTTCAAACCACGTCTATTGACTAAAGCCTTGATTTACCCCATATCTCGCTCCAAAGCCGTGCCCTTCACTGCCACTCTCTAGTACCTATTTAGTTAGCTGTCATGGTGGTGGGGACAATTCCATCTGTTCTCTTTTCCATTGACCAGCAAGCCCTTAGTTCTTGTCCCTTCCGGAACTTTGGCTTGGTTACAGGTGTCGGTGTTCTGGCCCCATCCCAAGGGTTAAGACTCGATGACGGCGCGAAGCCTGAAGGCCTCTGAGTGATTTTCCTCCATCTCAATTCCCAAATTGGAGGCAGAGAGAATCTGTCAGCCTAACTTGGGTTAGGTGTTCCCTTTCGGCCCAGTTGGCTGTGTTGGTGACGAGGGGTTGGCTTGAGGGTGTGGACTGGCAGGTTTTCCCTCTAAGATGGGATGTGCATGGTGGAAGTGCTGAAAATCTCTGTGGGTGGCCTGCAGGGGACTGGGAAAGGTGTGAGTGGGTGGGCAGAGACTGCAAGATGTGGAAAGTGCTAAAGATCATAGACAAGAAGACAGGGTTCCCTGGGAGCAGGGTGTTAGTGGTCACGTGGAGTTGGACAAGATGGTGGAATCAGGAGACCTCCTGGGGGATGTGGAGGATGAAGAGGAGAAGTGGCACAGTGGAAGGGAGGAGGGTGACTCAGCTGGGGGCAGGGCATGAGCAGTGGGATGGGAGTAGGAACGCACTGGTCAGGATTGGGGAAGTTTGTTCACTGGGATTGTTCATCAACAAGTGGCCCACTGGGGATCTTTTCATGTGTGTCCTATTCTCTCCCTGGGTTAATTGCATGCCCATGTGGGTGAGGTTTTGGGTACTGTTTTGTTTCCCACTGTGTTTTGTGTTTCTTATTGTTCCTGGCCCTATAATGGGCATGGGGGTGTGATGTGAATGAGGTCTTGGGCCTAAGCTGCAAAGGTGAATCCTCCAAGGGCTTCCTTCTAAGGAGAAAAGACTGGCTGGAGCGGAGTGGGGAGCAGGAGGTGGGAGATCAGAGAAGGTAGCTACCAAAGGTGGGTAAGGTGAGTCTCCCGTTTGAAAGTTCAAGCTCTGTTACATTGTGCTTTATAGTTTATGGCACACTTTTGGGAGATGTGTCTTTTGAGTCTTTTAGTTTAATCTTGGCTATGAAACGGGTAGGACAAGTCTTATCCCAGGTTTACAAATGTGGAGTTGCAGAGGAAGCTCAGAGAGGGGAGGTACCTCGCCCACTGTCGCTCCATCAGTAGCCTGTTCTGTTGATTCTTCCGACCTGCAAGAATTCCTTTTGTCAACTTTTGTTTTCTTTTATTGTTGCTGCCTGATTGTCCCTGGCCATCCCAGCTCCGTAGCTTTTCCTGGGATAACTGTGATGAGGGGAAGGACCCTATGGTGCTCAAAAGCCTGACTCTGGAACCTGACCCCATTGCCGTTCCTGGGAACGTGACTGTCAGTGCCGAGGTGAAGACCACTGTCGCCCTCTCTGCTCCTCAGAAGGTGAGCCTGGGAGTGGGTGGGAACGGGGAGGCGCTGGAGGGAAGGTGCCATGGGCCAGCTAGCAGGGACCCTGAGGGATTCATGCTCAGGGAACTGTGAATAGTTTAGGAATCCTGCAAGCCCAGAGCAGCAAAGGATGCATCGATTCCTAGACTGTCTGACAATGCCAGTTGGGCAATTTGGTTTTGGTGTTGCTATTGTTGTTAATTATAAAGCAGACACATCACTTGGCAGATAACACGTAGTCACTTTAGAAAATGCAAATCACTGGGGCCGGCCTGGTGGTGCAGCGGTTAAGTACGCATGTTCCGCTTTGGCGGCCCAGAGTTCGCCAATTCTGATCCCGGGTGTGGGCATGGCACCGCTTGGCAAGCCATGCTGTGGCAGGCGTCCCACATATAAAATAGAGGAAGATGGGTGAGGATGTTAGCTCAGGGCCAGTCTTCCTCAGCAAAAAGAGGAGGATTGGCAGCAGACGTTAGCTCAGGGCTAATCTTAAAAAAGAAAAGAAAATGCAAATAGTCAAAAAGGGAGAAAAAATAAAAGAAATCCCCTGAAATCTCACTACTTAGTGATAAGGGATAAACACTTGTAACGTATTGTAGGCTAGTCTGTGGAACTTTCCCCATACAATCACATGTAACATACATATTAATTTTGAATGGTTGTATATGAAAAGAAACAGTGCTCCTTGTAACTGTCCTCCTGCGATCCAACTTCTCATGACGTAGTCATTGTTAGCTATTTGTGTACCCTGTCAGAATGTTTTCTACATTTGTAAATATATGTACATTTATACTAATGGGATTCTATGACATGTGCTATTAAACTTGCATTTTTTTTTTATCACGCTGTATTGCATGTAGCTGCATACCTCCTCTGAGGGCATTTGGCATAGATCCACCTAATCATTTTAAATGGCTGAAATATTCTGTTGTAGATCTGTCATAATTTACATAACAAACCTATTGTTAGACATTTAATTTGTTTTTAGGGTACGAAGTTTGTTTGTTTGGTTTGGTTTGTTTTTTGGCTTTTTATAAACACCTTTGCAGAAGTCATCCTTGTAATGCATCTTTTTATACTTTTCTGATTATCTAGACAGACTTTTTAGGCCTTTGATACACATTGCCTAAGTGCCTCCAAATATTTGAACCCATTTATCCTCTAACCAGGAGCAGCAGATTTGCCATTTTCCACACATTTGTTGACACTGAACATTTTCTAAAAATCTTTTCTGAGCTTTTGCATCATCCCTAATGAGATTAAATGTCCTTTCGTAGGTTTCTTTGCCTTTTGTATTTACTTTGGGAATAACCAGTTCGTTCATGTCTAAGGCCTATTCTGGGGGTGGATATTCGCATATTTTCTCACAGAACAATAAAGGCTTTATATATATCCATTGCAACACCATACATTATAGTCCTTTCCTCCCTAGTTTGAATTGCTACCTTTGTACCATATTCTTCTGTACCCTTTAGCCTGTCCTGGTGCAAATCTATTCTGGTACCAGTTTTGTTTTGATTCTTTCAAAGCTTTCTGATTTGGAATCTGTGTCCCTGTAACTACCCTTTGACTTGGCTTATTCATAGCCCCTACCTCATAGCTTTCTCTTGAGCAATACTGAGTTAATAACATGGAGAGTATTTTGTGCAGGGCCTGGCTCACGAGACCTGCTTAGTACAAGTTAGCTCTTGTCGTGTGGTTCCTTTGACCCAGACGGAAGTCCTGGATGCGAGGACAGCTCTGAGGCCCTGCTTTCCTCTGCACCTCCTCCAGAGTCCTTTCCAGGCTAGGCCAGTGCATTTTCTTTCGCTGTTCTTGAAGTGATAAATAACCCACTAGGGTCACACAAATGCCATTTCCGTTCTCCTCCCGCTGAGTCTGTAGTAGAGGGCTCTTTGGCTGGCCAGCCACCATGCTGTCTCTCTTGCCATTGCCACGCAGACCGCTGGCATTTCGAAGGACCCTGATGCTGTGCAGCTGACTAGGAAGGAAAGGCTGGCGAACTGCTGATTCTCCTCCCAGCCTGCTTTCCCTGGCGCTGTGCAGGCCGTTGGGATGGAGCCCTTCCCGCCCCCTGTTCTATTTCTTTATTACCTGTCATCAATTTGGGCCATGGTGCTTTGTAAAAATTGCCCTCAGATCCCCCTACATTTCTCTTATGTACATATTTTTTATTTAGTTCCTTTATCTTTTTAGAGTATGTGCATATTAGCTATTAAGTAAAAGCCTCTCACTACTTGCATAGGAGAAAAGATGATTAGCTTCATTTTACAGATGAGGGGCACTGAGGCTTGCAAAAGAGTCACATAGTTATTAGCACATTTGAAGCTGGTGTCCTTATCTTATGTTTCCTGTTCCTGAGCTCTTTCTGGCGGGGAGGTGGATTTAGTGCTTGGTGTGTTTACAGAGGAGTGCTCCAGAACTTTCCCCTTGCCCAGCAAAGACCCCTTAGGAGAGCTGCCCAGACTCGAGCGTGGAGGAGCCTGGAGCGCTCTTGAGGTCAATGGTTTCCAACCCTTGTTACTGATGCCCAGAGAGAAGAGTGACTGGTCCAGGCTCACACAGCCTCTTAGCAGGAGAGCCAGTCCATCCTCTCACCTTGTTGAGCTGAAATTTCTTCCATCAAAGTCCCATCTGGGCCCTGGATGGATTTAACCCCAGCTGCAATTTTTGGAAGTTGGACGCCCCGGATTCCATGAGCCATGGGCAAGATAGGGGCCTGCCCAGAGCTCCCTTTTCCTTTTTTTGACTTACTCCACAGGATTTGGCATAATTTAGAACTCCTTTCTGTACCCTGCCTCAAGTTCCAGCCTCTGGGACCCTGGCTTTCCCGTCCTCAGGGATCCTACCTTGCCACTGTATTTGGCATGTACGTTTATTTCCGGTTTTCAGACATGTGACTTTCAGGCCTGATGGTTTGGCTTTTTCTCCCCCTAAATTCATGTACCTGCAATGCCCCTGCCTGAGGCCTGCGACAGAGATATAACTGCCCCCTCTCCAGTGTCCTCAGTGGCTCCCCTTCGAGTCAGTTGCTGTCAGTGGGTCTTTACCTAGAGCCTTCGTGTGCCTAGCCCTCTGCTAGAGGCCAAGAGAAGAAGTCATTTTGTTTTTCAACCTGCAAGAAACTCTGACTCTCAGGATGTCATAACTGGTAGATCTCGTGGAGATCACGAGACCCAAACAATCCATTGTCCAGATGGAAGAGCAGGGGCCTGAGAGGGGAAAGGAGTTGCCGCTGGGCCCCCGCAGGGGCAGGGATCCTGGCTCCGTTATGGGTCAGTGCTCTGTCTGTCTTCTTGTTGAGCCGGGTCCCATGACACAAGTTAATTTAGGTCAAGCTATGGACGTGCCAAGGAAGTCCTGGACTGGAGACCTTGTTACCCAGTCTTGCTTGCTTTCATGAGCCATATGAGCAAGTAGACTGAGAACAGGACTGAGAAATGAGCCATGGTCTCTAATCCCAAATGATCGGCATAGCTGCTGCCTCAGAAGCACCTGTTGTCTTAAATTCAGTGCACTCCCACTGAGGACCTCCTATGCTGAGCTTGTCCTGGGTCGAGGTGGGAGTAGAGATAGGGAGGCATGGCTCCTTCTGGTGGGTGCAGCCCCCCTAGCCTCCAGCCTGGTGGGAGGAGCTCAGGTTGGACTTTGCCCCACCGATCCCCTCAGCTGGGTGTTCTTGTTCAGGGTATAACTGGCTCAACCATTTTCGCTGGGGTATTATTGAAACAAGAAGGGGGTGTTGGCTAAGGAAGGAGGGAGGACAGGCAGTCTAACAGGAGGTAATTTTTGGATTTCGCCCACTATGGTAAGTGTTTTACAGGTGTTGTCCCACTCAATGGGACCTTGTGAGAGAGGAAGGCGCTCTCAAATATCCCATTTTTGGAGATGCGGGCATGGAGACAGAGAAGTAACTCCTCCAAGGCCACAATACTAGGATGTGGCTGAAGTAGCATTCCAGCCCAGGCCCTCTGGCTTTTTCTGGTCCAAGGGATTGGAGCAGGCTCCGTGGGAGACAGGAGGGCTGGGAGGGGGACTGTGCATGACTAGGGGTGGGGGATAATGGGTGTGTCAGCAGAGCGGGATGAGGCCAGTGAGGGAAGCCATTTGAATTTGTCTACTCAGGTTACAGGGTGCACTGACTTCTCCCTTCCTCCTGGGCCTGGGCCCTGACATCTGGGGCACTTGCAAGACTCAGTCCACAGCCTGGGGAGCCAGCCTGAGCCCAGCAGGGTTTGTCTCTTAGAAACAAAAGCCCCGCTCAGGCGAGCTTGGAGGCTGGGATTCACAGAATGCTGGAATGTCAGCGCTGAAAGGGATCCTAAAAATGTGTTTTCCTGCCCTACCACCCCCAAAGAGTCAGAGGATCAAGTGTGCTGACTTCCTCCTGCCCTTTCCTGACACTTGTCCCTTGATACCTTTGGGGGGACACGAACACAGTCCTCAGGGACAACTCATTTGGCTCTTAGACAGCTAATACTTAGTAGAATGCTTAGCACGCCAGGCACAACTGGGGCCGCCCAGCTTGAACTCCTGGCCACTGCCAGATCAGCCCCGACCTCCAGAACAGGAGCAGAATCGTGACAGCATGGAGATGGGAAGCATGTTATAGGTCTTCTCATCCAGCTTCCCTCTGGGTGCAGGGATCCTTCTGTAGCTCCCCCTGGATCCCAGGAGCCTACTGCTTCTGGGGGTAGTTCTGTCTGTGTTAACCTAGCCGTGATGTTAAGACGATCGTCCTTATACCAATCCCACAGTGATCCCCCTATAAATTCCTATTTTAAATTCTGTCTTCTATGGCTCTATGGAGAAAATAGGATCTAAGAACAGCAAATAGGGTTCATCTTGGTAACCAGCTCAGCTGGTAGTAGCTGCCTGAAGTCCTAGGTAGAAAAGGGTTCTGAAGCCAAGATTGGGCTCAGAAGGAAGGCTCTAGAAGTGATGCCACAGCTGGCCCATGAGCCATGAGGTGACAAGTGCATTCGAACTCAAGTGTTAGCTTTACCCAATGTGACTTCCTAAATAATTCTAAGACTGTGGTTCAGGGAAGGGGGGAAGAAAATAAATCACATTCAATTATTAATGTCTGCCATGGGCACAGGAAAGGATCATTTTGGGGCGTGTGCCACAATATTGTCATTTCTAGATCAGAATATCTCCAAGATCCTCTCCAATTAAAAATTCTGCAATTAAGGGGCCGGCTTGGTGGCACAGCGGTTAAATGTGCACGTTCTGCTTCAGCGGCCTGGCGTTCACCAGTTCGGATCCTGGGTGCAGACATGGCACCACTTGGCAAGCCATTCTGTGGTAGGCGTCCCATAGATAAAGTAGAGGAGGCTAGGCATGGATGTTAGCTCAAGGCCAGCCTTCCTCAGCAAAAAGAGGAGGATTGGCGGTAGATGTTAGCTCAGGGCTAATCTTCCTCAAAAAAAATAAGTAAATAAATAAAATTCTGTGATTAAAGTAAAATGCTGACCTTTTACAGAGGCAGAGGAACTGGTATGTTTGCCTTGGAATTTACACTTTTTCAAACTCTTCCTCACCAGGTGGAACTAACGGTGGAGAAGGAAGTGGCTGGCGTATGGGTCAAAATTCCATGTGTGGATCAGATCGGTAGCTGTACTTTTGACAATGCCTGTGATATACTAGACGCTTTGACTCCCCCTGGGCAGCCCTGCCCAGAGCCCCTGCACACCTTTGGGCTTCCCTGCCACTGTCCCTTCAAAGAAGTAAGTACTTAGGGAGGGAAATACTTACGCCAGTATTATCCCTGTGGCTGGAGTAAAGACGTGGGGTTTGGAGAGAAGGGTCCTTGCATTCTCCTCCTGCAGACGTGAATGTCTGTGGATGTAAGTTGGTGTGGTCTACCCTGAATTGCTTATCTTTTGGGGGCCTTAGTTTATCCATCTGTGAAATGGGAGACTTGAACTTTGATGTGACCTCCTGTGCCCCCTAGCTGTAACAGTCCGTGCTCTCCAGTGCTGGGGCCATCTTTGATCTCATGTGGCTCTTAGAAGAGTGGGAGGGGAGGCAGTTCGCTGCTGCAGTCCTAGAGGTGGCTCCAAGGAGTCCCATTAGGAGGCTCCCACTGACCTGTGCTCCATGGCTTTCCCACAGGGCACCTACTCACTGCCCAAGAGTACTTTCCCCTTGCCTGACCTGGAGCTGCCCAGCTGGCTCAGCAACGGGAACTACCGTGTCCAGAGCATCCTGAGCAGCGGTGGGAAACGTCTGGGCTGTGTCAAGATCACTGCCTCTCTAAAGGCCAAATGATGTGGCACCAGCCTCAGCAGAATGAAGGAGTATGAGGAAGTCGTCCGTCTTCCCCTGTCTTGTGTTGGCCAAGGCCTGATTCTAACTCTCTGTCTACCTTTTTAAGCCCCTTTCTACAATGATGCTATTCCCCTCACTGAAAGCCATTTTGTGCCACCTACATTTTAGGTGTGGGCAAGCAGCCCTAACCTCAGGGAGCATGAGCTTGGGGTTCTTGATAGCCCAGGACGTGTCCCGGGCTGGCCACACCGTTTCTTCCTCATTCCTTTGGCTTTCTCTCTAAGAGCTTAACTCATTTTCTAAACAGTCAAAAGGAATGGGACCAACATGTTTTGTGACCCCAAGTTCTGACTGACCCAGTCTTGACCTCCTGAAGTACCTTTATGATTTTCTCATTAAAATTTTGTCACTTACTTAAAAGTAGAGAGTATTAACAGTTTTCATTTTACTCCAACCCCCTCTTACAATGAAGAGGCTGAAGTAGTTGATCTCAGCCTGTTCCTCCATTAACTTCTATGATTAATTTCGTATTCTGTTCTAGATTTTCCCAGTTAGCAATGGGGCATGATGTATCATGGAGAGGCAGGGTGTGTGGTGGGGGCTACGTTGGGAGAGATATTTAAGGATGCTCTATGTGTTTAAGATAGTTGATAAACTCAGGTGCCCGCAGGGCCAAGCATGAGAGGTAAATGGGTGACAAAGACCACAAGGAACATGTTTTCAGGCATGTCTTCCCTTTTTCCTTTTGACAGCAGGATGTATGCGTTGGTATGAGGCAGCTAATGCCCAGTCTCGAGTTGGGGGTATAATTGGGGATGGGGTTAGGTGTTGGAAAGGGAACATCCGGTCTGCAGGGGCAGCTGCTGTCCAGATAGAGCCAGTTAGTGCCACATGAGAATGTGTAGGGCCAGTTTGCCAAATATTCTCAAATCTTTTCCCTTAGAGAAGCCAGAAATCTAGACTTTTATATGAAATCTTACAATTTTCAAATATTGGAAACTAATTATTTTTTAAAACATTGTGTGGGGCCTAAGGGGCCAAACGGACTTGTCAGGGGGGACATCTGGCTCCTGGGTGGCCAGTCTGCAAACTCTGACCTATGGACATGCATGCCTTGTCCGTTCCTTGTCAAGACAACCCCTCCAGCACCCTTTCCTCCCTCTCTAAGGCCAAATCCATTGGGTCTGACCCAAGAGGAAGGCTCTTCCAGGGCTAGGGGAGGTAGAGATATAAAAGCTGTGAGCTATGGGGATCATGAGGCTGCCTGCTCGGCTTTGGAGTGCTGATAGGACGAATGGCGCAGACGCTGAAGAGTTGGTCCCACCAGCAGCTGCTCTGTGGAGTGGGAATCCAACGAAGAGAGGTGGACTCGTGTCAGGTGCCTGGGTTTGTCCACTGACTTCTCCTCCCATGACAACTTACTGACCACAGACCAGCCCCGGCTTCTGGGCTCATCTGAAGCCTGGAATGGCAATAAATCTTTTTAATTTGCTCAGAACTCCTCCTTTCTCTTGGCTGCATATTTTTTCATTGATCACATCTTGGGATTTCAGGAGCTTGTTTGCAGTGGGCGGTTTCTGTTTGGAAGGGTTGGTTGCAGCAGTGCAGGGGAGCCGAGGCGACTTCAGGGGGTCTTCTGTTTCTGTCTCCTGACCTGCTTGTTATCGGCTTCTGTCTGCCTCATCACCTTCCAGCTTCCTTGGTTTGCTCTTTTGCTTTCCTATCGCACTGTGACCTCTCCAGCCTATTCTCCTTCCGGTGCGTCTTTCAGCCTTATTGTTACAGTCATTTTTTATTCACATCCTTGAATGGAGTCTCATTAGCTCGGTCAATCTTTTTCCGCCATGCCATGCTCTTGGGTCAAATGCTCCTCCTGGTCTTGGTGGTGGGGGAGGGGGTGAGAAATCTCAAATCACAGGGCAAAGTGGACTTTTTAATAAATGATGCTGAGCCAACTGGAAAGCCATTTGGAAAGAGTTGAGATTAAATCCATACATCACACCATATGCAAGAATAAATTCCAAATGAATCCAGGGTCTAAATGTGAAAAAATGGAAGCATACAAATACCGTAAGAAAACCTGGGTGAAAAATCCAGAGGCAATAAAAGATTAAAAAATTTGACAACATAAAAATAAAAAAATTGCTTGGCAAGAAATGCCAAAAGTCAAAAGACTGGAAGAAAATATTTGCAGCATACATCATAGACAAAGGGTTAATATTCCTAGTATATAAAGAATTAAAAATTTAAGGGACAAAGGATCCAAAACCTGTTAGACAAATTGGGAAAAGATGTAAACAGACAACTCTCTCTTTCTCTCTCATACACACACATGATCACACAAGATATAAAATTGGCCCTTAAACATGAAAAAAACTACAGACTAACCCATGATTAGAGAAATGTAGATTGAAACAATAATGAGATGGCATTTATCATCTCTCAGATTTCCCAAAAATAAAAGACAACATCACATTCTGCTAGGCAAGGCTGTCGGGAAACAGGCACCTGCATCCATAGCTGGTGAGAATGCAAACTGGTACAACCCTTCTGGAAGGGAATTTGTCAGTGCCTAATAAAACTGCAAAAGCAGTTACCCTTTGACCCAACCATTCCACTTCTGGGAATTTCGTCTGAAGATACACTTCCAACAATACAAAAATACATATGCACAAGATTATTCATTGAAGCACGGTGATTGAAAATACTGGAAACAAGGTAAATGTCCATATATGAGAGTGACTGAATAAACCATGGTATATTCACATGATAGAGTACTATTCAGCTGTAGAAAAATGAAGATCTCTGAATCAATATAGAGTTATTTCCAGGATGTATTGTTAAGTGCAAAAGACAAAAAAATGTAATATGCTACTTTTAATTAAATAAAGAAGAAGGTGTTGGAGTTAAGGGCAGATCACCCCAGAATGTGCCACTTTGACCTGAATAATTTCGAGCTGAAGAAAATCAAGGCCCAACAGACTCAAGAAGAGCTTTTAACCTCCCCCTTAACTGCCTAAAAGAATTTAGATAGGGAGCCTATACCAGAAAGAGAGCTATTACCAGAGAGAACTTTTTGTATGAGAAAGACTTATCTACATGGCATGGCAAACATTTGTTTACCAACCATTTACTCTTTCCATCTTCCTATGAATTGTCTTTTTTCTCTTTGAAGTCCTACACTCCTACCTGCTTCTCCTGAGCTCAGGATGGCATATAAGCTTCAATTGCCTGACTGTTGGGGGACCTCATATCTTTGGGATTCTTGTACATTCAAAATTAAATTTTTTTCTCCTGTTAATCTGTCTTATGTCAATTTAATTATTAGACCAGCCAAAGAACCTAGAAGAGAAGAAAGCAAAAGTTTTCCCCCACGAGAAGGAGGTATAAGAAAAAAAATATATATCTACTCATTTGCACAAAATAAGGAATGATGAACTAGAAACTAATGAGATTAGTTGTTTACAGAGGTTAGGTGGGAATATAGTAGAAAGAAGGGGGAGATGATGACAGGGTATAAAGGATGAAGGGGTGGAACGCTTCTGAGTATATCTTTTTCTGTAACTCTGACTCTTAGAACCATGATAATGTTCCTCATACCCAAAACATGGCTAAAATCAACTGGAAAATGAGGGGGATTCAATATGGAATACAAATAGTAACAAAAAAGCTAACTGTATTTAAAATGAATCATACAACCACACTGACAGCGCTGGGGAAAAATAACTTAAGTTGTAGAATTTTGATGGGGTACTACAACGCTAAAAGCAAAAGAAACTACACACCAAGACTATACTCTAGTTATAGTCAGTTTGTTTTTTCACAGGAGTAGAGGTTACCAATTCTGAAATTGTCTTATGTGTATATGAAGACTGAGAAAATAAGTAAATATATTGTGGATAATGAGAACATATGGGGCTTATTGAAAGGACACACGGACCAACTTGAAGCAGCTCTCAATGGCCAAATCTTGGACAATATGAGCAACAAAATAAATAATGACAGTAATGGGATATAATTTGTTAAATAAAAATAAATACCCATGAATCAATATACAATAGAATCCCAGTGAAATGATAGAACAATAGAAATAGAAAAAAACTCATCATTAGGCAAACAATAGTTTTTGCAGACAGGAATCATCTATGGATGCTAAAATTGTTGGATGAAAGTATAATGAGAAACAGGATTTCACATGGGCTGAACATATCTCCTCACAAGATAGTAATTATAAAGGGCAAAATAGTCACTTTATAGTGGAGATTCCTGGCAGACACCACCTTAACTAGCAGACCAAAGTGAACACCACCAGTAATAAGACATATTGATATTGTGCACCTCTTGATAGGATGCACTGATAAGGCACAATGACACTTCTGTATTGTCAAAGATGTATAATCTCAATTTACTCAAGAGAAAAGATCAGACTGACTTGAAACAGGACATAAAACATTGACCACCTTACACTAATTTGGCTTCCTTAAAACAGGTTGGTGGTTAATTAAACCTTGCTCAAAGACAGACAGCACTGCACATGTACCAGGTGGAAACCCACAGCCCCAGGATGACTCCGGAACCAAGAATCTTCAGAAATGTTGCCACCTGAGCCCTTTACAAAGAAAGAAATTCTTCCATAAGGAAAACCCAACTTCCAGCCGCTCAAGTAGTTTGATGACCATATATGGACTGATTTGAGACTAGTCAATCAGCTTACATGGGCCCAGCTGTAGCTTAGTAGTTCCTAACTCCTTAAATTTTGCCCTGAACGATGGACTGGGGAGAGATTTGAGAGCCTCGCCTCCTATCTCCTTGCCAGTCGCCCTCACAATAAAGCCGTAACTTTTCTCAAAAGCCAGTGCCATAATTTGGGCTTTTTATGTACATAAGGCAGCGGGTCTTCTTGCTTGGTAACAATTTCTGGCAACAACAAAGAGACACAGGTCCTGTGACCGCCTGCCTGAGGCTTTGTAGCCCCCAGTGGGGTTCGGGGTCTCTTCACTGACCCTAAGCAGCCGCCTAGACAATTTTGTTTGAAGGCTCAGCTGATTGGATTCCTGTTTTCCACCATGGTGCTCCAGGCCCCTTGGTGCTCTTTTTAACTTTTGCAAAAAGAAACTGATGTGGGGTCGGTGAGCCGAGGAGTCGAAAGAAAGATTTCTTAGACTCTCAAGATCTGGCAGTAGTGCTCTTTTATTTAGAGAATAGTGTGGAATAGCATGGGGACAGGGCCCATGGGCAGGCAGAGCAGCTGCTGCCCCCGCTGGCATGGGGACAGGACCCACGGGCAGTCAGAGCTCCTGCTGCTGCCGCGAGTTGAGGGTTAGGGCTAATTTTTATAAGGCGTGGGTACGTGACTTATTTTTACTGGAGAAAAGGAAAGATGACGTAAAAAGTCATTAAATGATTTCAGTGCAGATGGGGTCTGGTTATTGTGCGGTCATATAACTTTAGATACGAATCTGGCCATATAGATCGGCATGTAGGTGAGGATGCCCTGGGCTTCTCTCCCTGGGGCGGTCCTAATTCATATCATAAAAAAGTCCACTGGGTCGTATAGTTTGGCACGTAGGCCAGGTCACCTTGGGCTTCTCTAGCTGGGGCAGCCTTAATCCACATCATAAACCCCCCCTGAACCCATTTGGCCCCGAAATCTTTTGGGGATATGGACGACGGTCAGTCTTCTGTAACTACTTCCGGCTGTACAAGGTCGTAGAGCTGTCCCTAAATGGGGCCATAGGTATAGGTAGGAAGTTCAGTGAACCGGAAGGCTGCACCCGTGGAGTCCAAGCCTGACAAGGTGTACAGATCCTCTGGAGACCAGAGAATCATTTGACGAGAGGTGGTCCAGGAGGTGAAACTTTGTTGACATGCGGAAGACAAACAATGAAACAGACAACAAATTATAATAGGAAATACTAGCAATATGATTAACCCAATGAATAAGGTTTTGATAGTAGTCTAGAAACCTGGTCCTGACCAGGAGTTAAACCAATCATTTAGAGATAGGGTAGGGTCAGACATGAACTTAATTTGGTGGTTCATATCACATAGAAAGCCAGAGATTTTTTTTTTCAGTTTTTTTTTTACTGAGTTATTGATAGGTTACAATCTTGTGAAATTTCAATTGTACATTAATGTTTGTCAGTCATGTTGTAGGTGCACCACTTCACCCTTTGTGCCCACCCCCCACCCCACCTTTCCCCTGGTATCCACTAAACTGTTCTTGGTCCATAGTTTTAAATTCCTCATATGAGTGGAGTCATACACAGATTATCTTTCTCTTGCTGGCTTATTTCACTTAACATAATTCTCTCAAGGTCCATCCATGTTATTGCAAATGGAATGATTTTGTTCTGTTTTGCAGCTGAGTAGTATTCCATTGTATATATGTACCACATCTTCTTTATCCATTCGTCTGTTGATGGGCACTTAGGTTGCTTCCACGTCTTGGCTATTGTAAACAGTGCTGCAATAAACATTGGGGTGCACAGGACTTTT